CAGGTCCATTAAATAATATTAAGTGATGCAGCTTCTGATTTCAATAATAAATGTCAACATTAACTAATAAATGCATCCAGTTTGATGAATAAACTCATTTTGACACAGATGGGAAGTTTAAAGGGGCTGGAGTAGCCTAGTTCTGCAGCTTGTTACTAGTAACATGCTAAATCATGCTAATATGCTAGGGTGACCATACGTGCTATTTTCCCAGGACGCGTCCTGGCCAGGATTTCTATATTGCCTAAAATATCTAGGTTTTGGCTTTGTTTGCGTGTGCAGACCGATCGGTGTATGACATCAAAATACCTCGAGAGCATTTTGAAAGCATAAGGAACCGTCTGTATGGTATTTTGATGTCATACACCGTTTGTGTCTAGTTGCTTCCTGTTTAGAGTTCCAGATCAGTTCAGTTTTGTGTAGGATGACGCTTTAGATCAGTTCAAAGCTGCTCACTGAAACAGTATGCAAGTGTATGTTGATTCACTCTCTGTCTCTGTCGGATGTGTTGAAATGACACAGCATGTTCCTGCGATTCACAGAGACTCTCATTTCCTCAGTAGTGGAGGGGTGTGTGTGTGTGTGTGTGTGTGTGTGTGTGAGTGTGTGTGTGAGAGAGAGAGTGTGTGTGTGTGTGTGTGTGTGTGTGTTTATTTGTGCATATCTGAACATTTGTCCTGCCCATTAAAAATGTCATTTGGCGAAACCAGAAGCAACATGTTTCTTACACCTTGTATAAATGTGAGTGCACACATCTTTATCATTATTTTGAAAGCTGTTTTAAATATATAGCTGAAAGTGACAAATTATAAATTAATAAATAGAATTTATATTTTGGGGGAGTTGCACCACATGACATTTAACAACCTGATCTAGCCTTGCTTTGTCAAATTATCTGATATTTTAGGAGACTTGTTGGCCTTGATATGTAGTCAAGAGGGTTTAAATGATATCATGTCCTGTTATTCTACATGTTGGTTGCACCACATGATTTAGATCTGGTAGACAAAAGGTTTCCAAATAGGAATAATAATAAAAAAAGACCAGCCAAAGTTTTTATTCGCTCTAAGAATTTAATTCTTTTTTTTAATAAATAAATGTATCTGTACAAAAATATTTTAAAATATTATTACAATTTAAAAGAAGTTTCTATGTGAATATATTGTAAAATGTAATGTATTTCTGTGATGCGCAGCTGTATTTTCAGCATCATTCCTGCAGTCTTCAGTGTCACATGATCTTCAGAAATCAGTATAATATGCTGATCTGCTGCTCAAGAAACATTTCTGATTATTATCAGTGTAGAAAAGTTCTAAATTTATTTGAAAAATAAATCTTTTATATCACTTTAAATGTCTATAATGCAAAAAATGCAATACTTGTTGAACAAAAGTATTAATTTCTTTACAAAATCTTAGTGACCCCAACAGTGTACACTGAAGGAGGGACCTTCATAGAGACTTTCTATAGGATGTAGGCTAATAAACAACCACCCAGAACACCTTAGAGATACCCTTCCCACAACTCCCTAACATCATGGCGCTGAGTTTTGTGCAGGAATATTTTCACATCCAGTTCATTAAAGCGCTCTTTTCATTAAACCTTGAACATGCAGTCATGCAACGTGTTTTTTCTCCTAACAGATTACCAAACACTTGCTACCTTGCATCACTTTTTCCACCGTTTCATAGATTTGTGCGTTGCCATGGAGACTCTCTATATGGTATCAGTAATGTTCTCTATAGTCTTGTTGAACCATGTTTTATTTGAAAACATGGACAGGTTTGATAGAGAGATGTAGCTTTTGGTTTGGCTCTTCTGCCGTTCTTGACTCTTTGAGCGTTTTGTCTGCCTCTTACACCTCGCAGTGTGTCCAAGTCAAATCTAAGCGTGTTTGCAGACTGAATGCTGGCAGGCCTGATTGGCTGATAAAATCCTCTTCTGCATTACAGGCTGTGAGAATCAAAATCAGAAATTACATGGACATCTTTGGTGAACATTGTTTTTGGGTCACTGTAGCTGCAGTTTTGTAGTCAACCTGAAACAATGTGATTTTGGTAGGGTTGTAAACCCAGGGTCGGAAGTTAACGGGGGGCAAAAAATGCCACCAAAAGGAACAAAAATATCACACAAATTCAAGATAACGAGGTAAAATAGAAGCACAATTAATTAGGGTTATCACATTTAAAGTAAAAATTGTGAAAAGAAAAAAAAAGAAAAGTGTTGATGGCGGAATTAGATTTAGATCTGCTGCATTTCTATTCAGTTTTTGCAGCGTCGAGGTCTGTCAAAAAACAATTACGAATGGAAGAGGATTGACACGCTACTAAACACATGAGGTTTCTCCAGAGTAATGCTTTAAAGGGACAGTTCACCCATAAATGAAAATGTGATGTTTATCTGCTTACCCCCAGGACATCCAACATGTAGGTGACTTTGTTTCTTCAGTAGAACACAAACGAAGATTTTTAACTCGAACCGTTGCAGTCTGTCAGTCTTATAATAGAAGTGAATGGGAATCACGGCTTTGAGAGTCAAAAAAACCATACACAAACAAAACCAAATTAAACCCTGCGGCTCGTGACGATACATTGATGTCTAAAGACATGAAACGATCGGTCTGTGCAAGAAACTAAACAGTATATATATCGTTTTTTACCTCTGATTCACGCAATGTCTGAACTGTCCTGAGCGCGTTCGCGTCTTCTTCTTCTTGCTTTACGGTGGATCGCAGACTTATAAGTGCATTACCGCCACCTATCTCTCAAATGGACCATTGACACTCCTAATTGTAGATTGTAGATAGAGTGTCAATGGTCCATTTGAGAGATAGGTGGCGGTAATGCACTTATAAGTCTGCGATCCGCCGTAAATCAAGAAGATGAAGACGTGTCACGCGTCAGCTGTCGAGGGCGCGCTCAGGACAGACAGTTCAGACATTGCAGTGCATCAGAGGTAAAAAAAACTATATAAATACTGTTCAGTTTCTTGCACAGACCAATCGTTTCTTGTCTTTACACATCAGTGTATCGTCACGAGCCGCAGGGTTTCATTTGGTTTTGTTTGTGTATGCTTTTTTGACTCTCAAAGCCATGATTCCCATTCACTTCCATTATAAGACTGACAGACTGCAACGGTTCGAGTTAAAAATCTTCGTTTGTGTTCTACTGAAGAAACAAAGTCCCCTACATCTTGGATGCCCTGGGGGTAAGCAGATAAACATCACATTTTCAACTATCCCTTTGTAAGCCGCCAGTGTTTATACACTTCAAGAAGTCAATCTACTGGCTTATGTATAGTTCTCCCGAGACATCAGACTGGAAGAAAGTGTTTTAGCTGAAAGAATGACATTCAGGGCCTTTACGCAAAACTGCTCGCATTGTCTTGTTCAGAACTCATTTTGTAGAGCGCTCTGCTCAAATGAGTTGAAGATTTGAATACCGTGATTTGAGCTCTCTAAAATGAGACGGCCACATCTCTACCCCCTTCCGCCTCTTCGTGCAAGTATAAAATGTCCTTCCTGCGAGTGCGTCCGAGTCATTAATGAGTGGAGTGCCGAGGAAGCGGACAACATTTGGGGCCCTTCAATTATTTTCTATTTGTTTAGCGCTCAGGGAGCGAAGCCTCTTGTGAGTGAGACCGCTAATGGCTAGTGACAGAGAGGAGCGAGATGTCAAACCCCAACCGTTAGCTTTTCATATCCCATCCTTTCAGTGCTCGGCAGCCCAGCTGAGCCTTTCGGCCTGAACCTTCGTTATTATGCATAGCTTCCTCTTTTCCATCGTCTGCCTCATCCTTTCTCCTTCACCCCCAAGAGTTTCTTTTTTCAGCCTGCTTCTGTGTGTGTGTGTGTGTGTGTGTGTGTGTGTGTGAGGAGAGGACTGCAGTCTGTAAATCTTTAGTTTGTTAATGCAGTACATCTAGAATGCATTTGGATTTTTATCCAGCAGAGACTGCAGTGTCATTACATTTTGTGCGTGTGTGCGTGTGTGTGTGTGTGTGTGTGAATTCCTTAAGGAGAATCTACAGTATGCATCAGGGATGTGTGTGGAGTTCACCGCTCTAGTTATTTTCCAGTGTTTTTTTACGCATATACTTAAACAATTTCCCAGCATGCTGTACTCCAGCATTAAGCATTTCTGTAACAGTTCTTTAGCCTCTTCTGTGCGTTTGTCATTGCATGTACAGTTGCTCCAAAAAGTATTTAAACACTTACGGCATGCTTAAAAAATGAATGAAAGTCAGTGACATGATGCTCATTAAAATGTTTAATTTATACAAGGAATCCACTCAAGACAATGTTTTTAAATTCTGATTTAGAGAAATTATGAAGAAGCTTTAACCAACCTGAAATGGTAATGGAATTAAAATCCTGAAATTCTGTGTAATGTATTGTTTGAATAAACTTTTGTTATTATTTTAATTAAACAGTGAAGCAGGTTTGTTTTAAAATCTTATTTGAAAACAGTTTGTCCACCAAATCAGTACAGTATTATTTATTTCACATGTTTTTTGTTTTACATGTGTGAAAACCACAAAACAGTATATATTCTGAAATATATAAATAATATTTTCTATACAAAATATGCATACAAATATTTGTTAATTTGATCTTCTTATGACATTGCAAGAGTAGTTCAGGTTTACAAATGGTAAACCCTAAGAATGATATTCATAATTTAAAAAAAATCTTATTTATTTACTCCAACAATATAATAATTGTTTATATTTTTAGATAATGATTAACACTTGCATGCATTCAGTGTTTAAGCATATGTTTTTCTTAATGGTTACACTGCTTGACATTACATAAAGACTTGCATGTTGTATAAATTCTATATTTTCAGCAAAAAAGTTGTGAAACCAACATGAAAAAAAGATTGTTTCCACAAACTTGACACGTTCGTTTTGACCCACAAATGCAATTGCATTAGATACAAAATACCAAATGCTTTTTCTCTGATTGGATAGCTAAGATTGAATTTCTGTTCATTTTGCAGAGACACATTTATGTGGCCAAGAGTATATGAAAAGTTTTAACAAATTAGATTGCTAATTGATAAGTAAAAACACATGAAGTGACCCTTAGATGGAGTCAGTTCTCCCGAATGTAACTGTTTTACAGCCACAAAGAGTCACAATTCTTTCATTTAACATTAGATATATACAA